CTTTCATGTACGGCAAGCCATCATTAAAAGTTCCCAAAATACAATTTTTATTAAAGGTTTAAAAAATTTAATAGACTGCTTACAGAAATTAAAAAAAAAAACAATAAATGTATTCAAAAGAAACCTCAAACAATACTTGATAAATAAACAGAACGGATATACTTTTTTGTAATAATACTCTTTAAACCTTAAGTATTTCCCTTAATTTATTGTTATTTTACCCCTCGTTTTATCCGCATTTATTATAGATTATTTGTTTTAAGATCATGTACTTTATTTTAAAAAATTACTTGATGTTATATTAATACCACTTACGGCCATTTGCACCGACTTTTTATTTAAGATTCCTTACTTAAGGTTCCTTAAATATTTAAGGAATCCCTAAAATTATGTAATTTGCACCATTTACATTTTAGACCGCCTTCCCAAATGAAGTTTAGTTATTTTTCTCATCGGTAAGTGGTCTTGTTCTTAATCGAAAACCAGTAAATTGTATCGAAATTTTGATATATTGATAATAAATAAAGAAAAAGAAGAAAAACTTAACCCATACTATCCTGAAAAATAAAAAAAAAACCGGTAAATGACGTCTTTCATCGTGAAAAAAACTAAAACTGTAAAACTATAAAGTGTTAACCCTCCCTGTGTAACTTTTACGTTTACCGGTAGTGTTAGTGAATCTTAAAAAATCTCTCTTGAGAGATCCAACTGATTGGAAAAAACAAGAATATATAGAATATCGAAATAGATTGAACAAAATAATTAAAAACACAAAACTAATATTATTCAAATAAAATAAAATAATCTGTGATATTTTTAATTTGTTCCAGAACTTGCATTACAGTTTATTTATACAATCTAAACCTTTTAAAGAAGGCCAAATTATCCATTTCGTCGAAATAATTAGTTCTATTATACAACCGCCTTGGAAACCCAAAATCAGCAATTTCATTTCCAATTCATCATTAAATATAAAATTATCCTAGGGATCCATATTTTTGTCATAATTATAAAAAATGTCACTGTGAAAGTAGGTAAGGAATGTTTAAGTCTCGAAATTTGACGGTTTTATTAAGAATAGTTTAAGTGTTTCAAAAGGGCTCCTTAACTGACGGTGCAATGAAAGTATGTCACTTAAATCCTACTTAACTTTAAGTAATCCTTAAATAGGTCGGTGCAAACGGCCGTTACTATGTTTAAATTATTAATAGTTTTGCGAAGATAGGTTATAGCAACTTATAGCAACAAAACTATTTTTGTGTTAAAGAAAATCCATAGAGAGCAATGTAATTTACAAAGGCCTTCTTTCAACATACAAATAAATGACAACTTTATAATTAAAATGAAAAACACAACAAAATATCTCGGTATCATAAATGATCCAAATTTGAAATAGGCATTTTATCCTACCTCTCTTTTATATAATAAAAAAGTGCTTTGTATAAGAACATTATATTAGCTGTCTTGATGTACCGTTATTTATGGAAAGTATGAATTGAGGCAATAAATATCAAAGGCCACTCGACCATTCACTGTTGGGTACTAATTAACATTGCTGTTACTAAAGTGGCGCTGGGAAACAGTAACAAAGCCTACACAGAACACGAGGCTAATAACCGTAGCAGTTGATGCCAATGACACAAAAAAAAATATCAAAAGAAGTATACATTTTTAAATAATTTGACATTTAAGAGCCATTCACATATCACAGTTGACATCTTGATACTTAACAGGCACAGCCAAGCATTATTTTGATTTTTGCCAAACAAAATAGCCGGCTATGGGGTTGCGACAGAGAACCAGTAAATTTGATGAAGGTGTTTTTGTGGCTAGGGGCGAAATAGTAGTACGTTTAATAGCACCACCATAAAAAGTCATTTTTAAGAAACTGCTTATATATTTTTCATAAATTGACAGGCTTGGCGACTAATTTCGAATGAAAATAGCCTCCAAAATGGCTATATGGTTGCAAGTATGAAGGTCGCAACCCGCCTTAGAAATTTCACCTTTACTATCAACAGCTGTTGTTTGACAGGTCGTTAGAGAATGTTTGCAATTTATGGAATGTGAAGAATGTTAGGAATTTTGACGTTAGAAATAATTGAAATTCCTAAAATAATCACATAAGGAATGCATAGGCGGATTTTAAGAAAATTGTTATTTAAGTAGTTAGGATGAACCGAAAATTTTGAAAATCAATAAAGTTCTAAGTAAGAAGTAATTATTCAAGAAAATCAAAACTGCAAGTCAATCAGAACTTTCGTTCTAGAGTTATCGTGCCGGCATACATACAAACAGACGACCAGACGAAACATTTTTTTTTGGATTTTCGGATTCAGAATGATCAGAAACATGAAAAAGTTTTAAAAAATGGGGGTTAGAAAATTTTTTCGCCTGCACGAATGCAATGCTGAGGCCCCATAGGAAGAGCCTCAGTAACATCTAATAAATAGCTCTTTTCCTTTGTATCGAAAGTGCAGCACTGAGCTAGCTCACTTCTAAAAATATCGTTTCATCCATACACTTTCGATGCAAAGGAAAAGACCTAATTTAAGTAAAGTAAAGCTTAATCAAAATAAAGGTTCACTATTCTAATCGGAGGCCTATTATTTGGGACACATCATTTCCGCAGAAGGAATCAAAACTGACCTGTAGAAAATGGCCGCTATCAAAGATAAAAGAGAAATTAGTAGTTTTCTTAGAATGTGCTCATATTATCGGAAATTCGTCAAAGATTTTAAACAAATTGCTAAACCTCTTTATCGATTAACTGAAAACAGTAGTCTGTTTGATTGGACGCCGGATTTCCAAAATACGTTCACCGAATTGAAAAAGCGATTGACCACGACACCCATCTTAGCGTAACCTCGAGAAAAATGACAATTTATTTTGAACTGCGACGCATCCAAACACAGCGTGGGTGCCGTGCTATCCCAAGAACAGGAGGGTGAAGAGAAAGTAATTGGGTGTTTTAGTAAAACCTAAAATCTTGGGAAAAGCTGAGAATAATTATTGCATAACTAGGAAATAACTTTAAGCTATTGTCAAAGCCCTTAAATATTTCCATACTTTTTATACATTTTTAACAGAAGTTTTATCAATAGAAGTAACCACTGCGCCTTGCAGTGGCTGATGAACTTTAGAAAATCTGAAGGACAAGTTGCTAGATGGATAGAAAGACTACAACAATATAACTTCGAGAGTGCATCAAAGAGGCCGTCTCCGTAGCAACGCAGACATTCTTTCCGGGCGACCCTGTTTAGAAAGACTATGACGGTACTGTAAAAGGCTCGAAGAACTTGGCAAGAGATACCCAGATATAGTGAAACTACATATTAAAGGATACAGGACTAAGTGGAATTTCCTGTATCTTCACGATGGCCTATTGCACTGGAAGTGGGAGAGCCCTGATGAAGTATATGTAGTCCGCCAAGTGGTACTGCCAAAATCACATGTTACAAATGTGTTGGAGGAGCTTCATAGCAGCCGTTCAGGAGGACATTTTGGCACCAAAAAGACGCTGGCACGAGTTCGAGAAAGATTTTATTGGGTCATTTGCAGACGGGATGTGGAAGATTGGTGCAAGAAATGTGATCTATGCAATGGCAGAAAAGGGCCCAAGACCAGAAGCTAAGCTAAAATGGCACAGTACCTTTCCACAGAGCCTTTTGAACGAATCGCCATAGATGTCCTTGGACCAGTTTCCTTAACAGAAAGGAGAAACAAATATTTGATGTAGAACCTGATTTAGGATCTGGTGAGGCGAGACGTAGCTTTTGGCAGGAGGCGCTTGACACGCTCCTACTGCTTCATGCAAACATGGACTCGATCTCACCGAGATATATATTCCATAAGCCAAATAAAGTTGTAACAGGACAAATAGAAGAGCCGGAAGAGGCAGGTACGATTTATATCTACTCCGACGGTTCTAAAACAAAACAGGCTCAGGATGTGGAATATACTCCAGATCCTTAAACTTTAACATAAAACGGACTGTGAGCAATAGTACCAGTATAGTTCAAACAGAGCTCACGGGGATTCTCATGGCAGCAAAAGAAATCACCAGAAACAATATCACTGGAAGGAACATGCTAATCTATACAGATAGCAGACAAGCACTACTCTCCATGAACAGACTACGAATTTGTTCAGGGTTAGTACTAGAATATCACGAAGTTTTGGCTGAAGTATCCATCAACAATGTGGTCACCTTAAGACGGATCGAAGTTTACGCCACATCGAAAGGTAACCGTCTTGCTGATTCACTGGCCAAGAAAGCAGCCAACCAAATACTTTTTGGACCTAGCCCTTCTATTGGCCTGACAAAATCGGTAGTCATAGACCTAATTAAAGAATATTGCCTTGTGAAATTCAAGGTAAAATGGGATGAAACAAGAAATTGCAGAGTTGCCAGGGAGCTTTTAAGTTATCCTGATAACACTGCAGCAAACAAATACTTACCTATGACTAGACTGAATCTGCGCCTAGTCACAGGCATTCTGACTGGTCATTGCCAAGTACGGAAGCATCTCCATATCATAGGGCTGTGAGAATCCGCACTCTGCAGAGGGTGCGAACAAGAAGGTGAGACCATCAAGCATATCCTCTACGATTGCTCGACACTCTCATTTATCAGAAGATTTGTATTCGGCGAGTATCGGCCGATATAAGAGAAGCACCTCTTGGCGACGTTGTCAACTACATCAAATCTGTAGGCTAGCTCACGAGCTAGTAGGTGCCTATCATCTTAGAAGGATGCAAAATGGGCCTAGTAAGGCCCAAGTGCCGTGGGGGTGACCCACCCTCAACACGTTACAGATACAGATACAGATAGGTACCTACATTTGCCAGCCAGTAAAATATTTTTGTAGACTCTTTCATATTTACCTCAAATATTTCTGGTATTAAGTATAAAAATTATTTTAAATTGTGATTTTCTTACTATTGGAGTGAAGGTTATAGATTGGTTATAGATTAAAATAAAACTAAAATATTACATACAAAGTTTTATTTACACAGATATACAAAATATTTTGTTTTATTATCTACTTGCCTAAAAATTGTCTATCAAACTTGTGAGCAATACTACATACATGCAAAAAATGTTAAAAATATAGTATTGTTCTAGTGAGATTTTTAAAAATAAGTAAATAAAGGGTGTTTTTTATTGAGTTTTTTTTGGGCTGATATCAATTTTTCCAGCGACAATCAATTTGACAGCTGGCAGTTGATTTGTGTTCAGTATGATTTGCCATTTCACCTAGAATCGACTAACGTGGATTGGGATCGTTGAGACTCGGCTAGGTAATCAAGGCTCGGCAAGTGAATGCGATCCCACGACGTGTGTGAGTTCCGTCACGAGACCTACAGGACTTGGTCAGCAAAGACTTCCTTTCATTCGCACAACACGCGGGAAAGATGAAGTCTCGCCAGAAATAACGCGAGCTTGGCAAGCTGGGCTCGTGATTCGCCGATGCACGCGCCGTTGGAGTCCGCCTTTGGAAAGACCATTCAAAATTGTTCAAAATTATTTCGAAAATCGTGATTAGTTCGAGAAACTTACAGTGCGCTACGTCCAAAAATTTGTTCAGTAATGAGGCTTATTTTTGGTTAAATGACTACATCAACAAGCAAAACTTACGCATTTGGGGTGAAGAAAATCCACAAGTTATAATCGACACTCCGTTATATTCCAAAAAGTCACCATTTGGTGTGCTTTATGAGCTGGTGGTATGATGTTTTCATTTTTATTCAAAAACGATACCGGCCAGAACGATACAGTCAATGGAGAGCACTACAGGGTGTTAAAAAAAAGTGTCACAAAATAAAATGGTGAATAGTATGACCCAAAATAAGCAGAAAAGTCTTAATAAATATATGACCGCAAATTAACGGTTTCGGAGATACGGACCATTTTGTGTTTATAACAATTTTTTATTATTATAAAAAAACAATGATATTTATAAACAATCAATAACAACATAGAGTTAAATGAGATGTTCAAATACTGACGTAGCGCTTCCCTCGCATTGCCATTTGCACGACCGTACATAAAATGCATGTCAGCTAATTCAATATTAGTGTAAACAGGCATAACGAAAATTTATAAAATTATTCACCCACAACAAAATAATAACTGCAAATAGTATCTATGAAAAAACATCGGTAGACTCCGATAAGAAAAGCAAGTTTTTGAGAATGAAAAAAGATAATCAAAAAATGATACAAAACACTCCGAAACCGAAACCATTCATTTGCGGACATATGTTTATTAAGACTTTTCTGCATATTTTGGCCCATACTACTTTTTTTAACACCCTGTATAGATCCATGATTACTAACTTTTCGTTCTTCAGTTGAATAGTATTAGTCTAGAAGAGCTGTGGTTTCAACGGCACAACATGCTACACAGCGACCATCATAATCAATTTGTTGAACGAAACGTTCGATGAGCGTAATGGACTTGTGAATTGGGTCCAAGATCGTGTGATCCAAAATCTTTCGATTATTATCTGTGGAGTGTAGAGATTGTAAAGTTTTAAAGTCGCTTAGTCGCTAGTCTACGCCAATAACCAGAGACGATGGACGACTTGGAAGCCAACATTAACCGCGTTATTGCCGATATACGGTCTCACTGCTTTAAAGAGTAGTTGAAAATTAGACTTCCAGATTGTTTTATTCCAGCCAGCCGCTATGCCATATGCTCGAAATAATAGGCCATTGGTAATGGCATACACATATCTTTCCAATAAGGCCAATACCATGGCCATTACTATTATTTTGATGTGTTTTTTTAATTTTAAATTTATATACCTCTAAAAAACACCCTCCGCCAGATCACGGATTCCAGTTTAAAAAAAGGATGAAATATATTTTTAAATTTAATTGAAATACGTCTACTAAACATAAAAATTAACTTATTTTATTTGATAATTTAGGGTGTTTTTCATTCTTCCTTAAGAATTGTTAAAGTTGTTCTTCTTAGAACAACTTTAAAATTCAATTAAAATATAAATTACACAATTAAATATTGTTTTTCAGTATTTCGGAATTTTATTATTAGCTTTATTTTCCTTTTTTTTTTAACACTAATACGACGTATCTATACCACCCTAAATCTTTATTTAATAATTTTTTACAGGATATTTAAATTTGCTGCTAATCTTTTAATTTAATCAAGAATTTTTTTTATTCGATTAATTGAGATAATAAAATTGTGAGTGATGATAAAAAACTCAGAAAACAGCTTTTTAAAATTTAAAATTTCTTTGATAAAAATGTCAGAAAACTGCTTTCTAATACTAACAATTATACATATTAAGATTATTTTTCTTTGATAAAATTACCAATAATTACGTTTATGATAATGCATATATTCTACCGGGTGGCCAATTACATTTGAACTAATTTTAAATGCATATAAATGTTGTAAATTTGTTAAGATATTTTCAATACTATTAGGCATTCCAAACAAAATGGTCTGACGAAGATGGCACACAAACCCCAATTTTACATTGAGTTCAGTGTTCTGTTATTGAGTTGATACGTGTCTAATTACAGTTTATATTCTTTTTAATACACACTTTTTAGTTATATTACTGTCATTCAAAAAATGTCTTCTCGTTAAATAAAGATGCAACTCTAGTTTTTACATGACATTAAGAATAAAACTATTAATAATATCACACACTACACCGTGTTTTTGTTCAAAATCTACCCTCTAGCTAAAAGTTACCGTTATTTAATCTAGTTATGTACAAAAATCACTTGACAGATTAGTAAACGAACGTTTGTGTGTGAAAAGAACAAAACACTCACCCTGTTAAATTCATCTGGCAACCATTTAACAGTATGTTATAAATAACGTTTTGATATATCTACGAATGCAATCGATCAAAACCTTGATAAAAAAGATATCATTTAGTTATTGGAAGCAGACAACTTAAAAATAAGTAAATTGAGCATCAATTTCAAAAAATCCTACCTAACATTTTTAACGACATACAATTTAAATATTTGTCATTTTGAAAGTAAAGCAGATATACTTATTATGACTAGTGATGCCGCGAGACGAGACGAAAGAGAGGCATCTCTCGTCTCGACGAGAAGCGCTTCTCTCGCTCGAGAGAACCATTCTCTCGTCTCGTCTTGTCTCGTCTCGTTTCTCTCAAATTTAAATTTGGAAAAGATATACTTAAGACGAAATATGAAAAAACTGAAAAATTTTGAAGACAATAACAAATAATTTTTTAAGTAATTTGTCTCATCAGTACCCAAATTGGCAATAAGAAAGACTTAGGGAAATTACCTTGATATCTCTCTGCCTGTCCGTCTGTCACAATAGTTTTACTTAGACAATATTTGACATAAACAATTGAAATTTAAAGTAATCAGTGGCCCAAATTGGGAGTTAACTAATAATGTATAGAAGAGGCAGAAGTTGGAAAGGCTTTTGATAGGTAGAGAGGGGGTAAACGTCAAACCACGTCGGATGACTTCGAGCATTTTGCAGTTATGTTTACCTGCCAGTGTCGTTTCATAGAATAAGAACTGGACAATCGCATGTATTTATGGATTATAAATAATTATTAAGAGGAGTATTTACTTGGCTTTAGAGCAGAGCATGCAAGGGTTTGGTAGTACCCCACTTTTAAAGTTTATTTTTGACATATTTCAAAAGAAAAAAATATGTGCTTGTTGGTAAAGGTTAAATCTGTGCTCCTCTGGAAACACTTTTTCAAAATTTTAATTTATTTTTTCTAAAAAAAAACACAAAACTCGACTTTTTTTTATCCATTTTCTCATTTTTTTTTTAGAAAAAACTAAATTGAATTTTGAAAAAGTGGTTCCAGAGGGGCATATATTTAACCTTTATCTACACGTACATATTTTTTTCTTTTAAAAATACTTAAAAATAAACTTTAAAAGTGGGGTACTACGAAATCCTTACATTGCAAGATTTTTCGTCTGGCAAGTGGCGCCTCTGTTAGATTATTAAGAAATTAATATTTGTGAATGAAAACAATTTACAAAATATTTTACTGATGTTTTACGAGGGATAATTAAAGTTTACGTATTTACACCAATTTTACAAATTATTTTTTATTTTTTAAAAAATTATGTAAGTACAGGTAAAGGAGTCACTTTTTGAACATTTGAATCGGTTTATTTTGAGAAAATGTAAGAAGATATCTTTCTATCGAAAAAAAAAAAATACAAATAAAAATGCTAGAAGAGAACAATATATGTTTTTAATTTTTACAGGAACATTTATTTTTCTTAATAAAAATTAAGAAAATACGTTAAAAGCTTTTTCATCTAGAGGGCGACACCAACAAAATGTATATCCTTTTCTACTGTTTACAAGTGATAAACGTACGCAAGTGATTTGAATTTATTTTGTTTTATATCTGTACACTTTGTTATTTTTACAAACAGTAATTTCGCTCAATTATTTTAAATTAATTTTATCAATTATTTATCAAAAAAATATATCCGAAATTAAAAGGTACAAGATTGAAGCCTGATATCCACTCTTAAGATTATGCTCGACCTGCTACCAGAAATAACAGAACTTATCATGCAAATGCAAAAAAGGTACTATACACCGATAATTTTCATATATGTACAATATTTTAACAATATTATTCTATTCTAGACTATGGAAACAAAATTTGCAAATGCAGAAAAAAATATCGGTTACATCGGTTAATGCACCTGTATGGCACAGAAAAACTGCAGAAATAGTTTGATCATAGCCGCTAATGTTTTGGAAAATGTAGATTAATGTGGTGAATCTGATTTTGATTAGTTTGAGTCTTGTACTTATATATTTTAATATTATTGATTTATGCTTTATATACTTCTAATTATTGAATTTTTTTATTAGGAATTTATTGTATTCTGCAAAGCAATAGCCTTACTGTTTATAACTTTTACTTATATATCGGGTGTTCAACTCAAAGCGTTACAGCTGTATACCGCTTTAAAAAAAAAAACGTTTCAGACGAAAGTTTTATGGTTTTGTGGGGAAAAACTTTTAGCTAAAATTGGTTTTCATAGCTAACCATAATATGGCTAACTTTTTTTTCGCGCAGCAACATTTTCAAGTAGCTGTTACTCAAAAAGAAAAGTCCATTAAAAAAAATATTTCCCTCAAAAGTTTCTTATTTTTTTATGTACTTTAAAAATATGTAAGAAAAAAATGGGATTCCCATTTAAAAAAACAAAGTTCACCTCGATATGGCCATATTATGATCAGCTATAAAAAAATGAATTTAGCCAAAATGTTTCCCCCAAAAAACTATAAAACTTTTGTCTGAAACTTTTTTTCTAAAATGCATATTTTCAGCGGTATTTAACTGTAACACTTTAATTTGAACACCCGGTATAATGTGCTTATACCTTCCATAAATAGTTTATATTTTATTTTTTTATTTTCCTCAAAAAAAAAATCACAAATTAATACACCCTATAAAACATTATTCGCCTTCATAGCGGATAAATCAATAATACCTATATAAAATAATGTAAGAGAGTCAAACAGATTGCATACATTTCATCCCTGAGAGAGACGCATACAGTCAAGAAACTGCTTCCTTTCCTGTAAAACCATGACATCAGTAATTGTTTATTGCTATATTTTTGTTAATTTCATAGCAAAAAATATAAGGAAAGCACTATTACCTTGTCAATACATAGGCGAAACTTTTATGAAGAATATTTGTTTTTCGTTTAGGCCTTCGTTTTTCGTCAAATGAAAGATATATTTCTAAAAGAAGATTTTTTAACCAAATTTGTCGACAGCCAAAATAAGTTTTAATCTACACCATACTTATATTGTAAAATACATAGGTAATATTATTTTGTGCTATTGTGGAATATTTTTCGGTTCCTTTGTCTTCAACTTCGCGCGTTAAAGTTTATAATATGTATCCCTCGTATCTACATGCAATTGTTAAAATTATGAATGAATGCTGATTTTGTTTGGAAGTTTGGAAGTAATTTTGTAGTATTTAGGCTCCACCCTTAAGTTGTAATTTTTATACCTACTAAACTACCGTTGCCCCGCAGGTCTTTTAGTTTGTAATGTAAATTTTCCTCTTAAACATGTATTATAATACCCAAATCATAATTCTGCAAAATTTCAACAGCTATTCACAATTTATTAAATTATTTACTCGAAATTGTTATTAACATCTAAGAAATAAATTTGTACGCTAATGTATCGCGTCCACTTCGGTTAGATCCGCCGCAAACCTGTCAAGTTATGTGTATGAAGTGAGAGAACTAGCAAAAGCCTTTCCAACTTCTGCCCCTGCTATAAATACTTTGTAAGTAAGTTGGAAGGGGGTAGGGTTTCATTTGGAAGTTAGAATTTTTTCGTGTGATATCAAATGAAAGCATTTTGAAACATGTTAACAATATATTATTCGTTCGTTTCTTTTACTTTTTCTTTGACAGTTTTTCGAAAAAAACACTTAACAATTGTTGTTTTTCTAATTTATCTCCAAAAGTAACCTCCTAAAAATTTGACTGCATGGAATTTATTACGATTCTGTCCGTTGGTTAGTTTATATACAAAGAAATTTCGGGTGGCGCTTTTGTCTTGGGCAGTATTGTCGGGAAGCGCATTTGTCGGGGCGCTTTTTTCGGGGCGCATTTGACGGGTCACCATACATAAAAATCGTGCAAGCCGTTTCCGAGATATTTGAGGCGTTCCATACTTAAAACTCACTGTGTATATAGAATAGGTGTTTTATAGTTAACTTTTTGACTGTCTAAAAATCTGATATTTTTAAATTTTAAGTTAGTAATTAAAAATTTTAAGGAAGTAAAAAGTTAATTGCGCGAGGGAACTCGAGAGAGCTCGAGAGAAACGAGAAATTCTCGTCGAGAGATGACATTCTCTCTCGTCTCGAATCTTTTTTCGAGAGAAAATGTCTCTCTCGTCTCGTACAAGACGAGACAAGACGAGACGAGAGACGGGAATCTCTCGTCTCGCGGCATCACTAATTATGACAAAGAAAAATGAGAAAATCATTTGAGATCCGAAAAGTGATATGCAATTTTTGGAAACTTGAAAATATAAAATCCCCAATTCAGATGAGAAATATTGAAAAATTAACTCCCACATCCACAAAGTGAAAACAAACTAAAGAAAAATTGACAAAGTTAAAAAAGATAATTAAAAATTAATGCATAGACCAGGGATCGAACCTGAAACTTTTCAACTGGAGCCGTCAGCGCCTCTATCAATTAGGCCAACGAAGCACTATCAGATGTTAAATATTGAACTAATTGTTAAGATTTTTGGTTGCATCTTTTACAAAATAAAGCATTTACGTTATTTTTATTTTCATTTTAGCATAATCGGGTTCGTAGAAAAAGTATAGTTTTTACTTGTCGAAAATAATTCTCATGTTCAAATTATTACAAAATATACAGAATATCTGAAAAAAGGTAGCAACTTATATTATATTATAAATATTTTATAAATGGAATAGCCTGTATATGACATAATTTTCTAATTCTTGCCAATTTCTAGAGTAATTGGGTACCCTATGCACAAATTCAAATTAAACCGCAGTAATATAATGGGTAGGTAAATGTCACATTATTCGCATACTTTGAAAAGAATATTGTTGAACTGTTAGAATTCGTTAGTGTTTATTGTAGACTGAAACGGTCGCCTCATCAGGTTGCTACGGACGGGAGTGTGACGTCACAAAATGAAAGAGAATAATAAAAAAAGCTATAGGTCAATTGCGCACTGATGGGACACCCTGTATATGTGTTATTGGATAACATGTTGGTATCGTTGGATAGGTAAATTTATAAGGAAGTTTATGGTAAAATAATATACAGAGTGTTGCATTTAAAAAAATTTAGTAAATTAAACTTAAAATTAGCCATATTTAAGACTCTGTATAAAATAAACCAGTTTTATCACCACTATTCGTCAGCTTCTTATAGACCGTCAGATAGTGACTGATTTAGGTGCCCCATTTTCGCATACAAGCCTCGAAGAGGGTTAAAAAGTACATCGATTTTGAATAGATTGAAAGGAAATTTACGAGTGGCCACTGGGGATAACATATGGAAAATTCGATTTTCCTTAACATAAATTAAAGGTGTTTTTTGCTCATTTTTCCATGCACGCCGTTTTCACTATATGATTAATTAATAGAACTAGGCTTCAAAAAACCAAAAACTTTAATGTTGCAAGTGGCTAAAGGGTTGAAATAAGGGCGTAATCTTGTAAAGAAAAATCGATATTTTAACCGATTTTTCCACACAAGCCAATTGAGAGTATGAAAATATACGTCGTAACTAGCCCGAAAAACATATTGGCTTAAGTGGCGCGAGTGGGTAAGTCCATTTTGAGGTTGGAAAATCTAAAAGAATTTTTTTTCGATTTTCCAGTTATTTGCCCCTCAACAAAATTTTTTGCAATAATAATATTAATAATTTAAGAGCCCAGAAATAAATAATGGCTTGAGTGCAGAGCGTGGTCTTCATATTTTCAGAACATAGGAAAGTTGCTGGAAAAATATATGCAAATTGCCACAATTTTCCCACACAAGCCGTTTAACATATGCTTAGAAAAAGTGATTCTAAGACTATATAACAAAAGGCTTGAGTGTCGGACATGGCCATCATATTATTTATATCTTTATAATTTATTCAACAAAAAGCTGACAAGAAAATCTAGAAATTTTCACCATTTTCTCACGCAAGCCGTTTGTCATATGCTTAGAAAAAGTAATTCTAAAACGATATAACAAAAGGACATGGAGCATTTATTGATCTAAAAAAGAACTGACAAAAAAATTTACAAATATATATATATATTTATGCGGGGTTATTATTATTTATTGTTCGGTGATTATTCGTATAGTAAATTTTAATATGAATTTAGTGTTGAATTAACAATAGGTTTATTTTATAGAAAAATTTATATATTCTTTCATAAATAATTGGTAAGTACTATAATATACATTTATTTAGTTAATCAAATGAAATATTTGAATTTTTACAATCATTCAAGAGGGCATTAAGTTAATAAACATTTAAAATGTATAGTCGTTTAATAGTCTGGCCACGGGTCAACTTTTATAATAAATTTGATATAAAATAATTTTGATAATTGATATTTAGATAATTCAGGGTGATATTTAGGTTTTGATATTTAGGTTTATAGTTTAATTTTTTCTTATATGGCGAATTCAAACAATAATATTCCATTAATTTATAGAACAAATACTTATAGATAATTTACAGTTATTTGGGAGCAGCATGGTTAAAAATGCAGGAAAAACGGACACGAGGAGCTGTTTTATTTGCAAACAATCCACCTACGAGAATATTATATTATTTGACCGTGAATGTTTATCAACATTTAAGAAAAATATGGACTGTCGAAACTTCTACAAATAGAAGTATATCGTAAAATCACTTTGTATATAATTTAATTTGTAAAATTATTAATAGAATTAACTAAATTCATTACCATTATTTTTTAAATAAATTGTATATTTTTTATATGAAAACCATAATATGAAGACCCATATCCTGCGCATTATTTTCATAATATTAAACATTATTATACTTATACGCATGAAATATACGCTAAATTATTTATTTAAAATAATAACCCTGCATAAACATTTCTACTTTTTCTGACAGATCTATTTTAAATAAATAATATGTTCCATTTTCGACACTTATGCCTTTCATTATAGGGTCTTATAATCACTATGCCAAACGGCTTGTGTGGGAAAATGGTGAATATTTTTAGATTTTCTTGTCAGCTTTTTGTTAAACAAATTATGTATAATTAATATAATCATGTCCGACACTCAAGCCATTTGTTATATAGTCTTGGAATCACTTTTTCCAAGAATATGCCAAACGGCTTGTGTGAGAAAATGGTGGATATTTATAGATTTTCTTGTCAGCATTTTATTAAATAAATTATGTATAAATAATATGAAGACCATGTCCAACACTCAAGCCTTTTTATATATAGTGTTAGAATCACTTTTTCTAAGCATATGCCAAAAGGCTTGTGTCAGTTTTTTGTTATATAAATTATATATAATTAATATGATGGCCATGTACGACACTCAAGCCTTTTGTTATATAGTCTTTTTCTAAGCATATGTCAAACGGCTAGCGTGGGAAAATGGTGGCATTTTCCATAACATTTACCTTCAACTTTCCGACGCAAGCCTTCGTATCGTCCACATCCGATACTCATGCCAATTGTATTATTACGTCTAACACATTAATAACATTCTATGGTTAAAAAGGCTTGCATAAAAAAATAACTCAAAAATCAAAACAAATTTGCGGTAATTTTTCCGACTACAAAATGCACTTATCCATTCGCGCCATTCAAGCCAATATGTTTTTCGGGCTAGTGACGATGTATGTATTTATACTTTCGACGGGCTTGTGTGGAAAAATCAGTTAAAATATCGATTTTTTTTACAAGATTACGCCCTTATTTCAACCCTTTAGCCACTTGCAACATTAAAGCCTTTGGTTTTCTGAGGTCTAGTTCTATTAATTAATCATAGTGAAAACTGCTTGCGTGAAAAAATGAGCAAAAAACACCTTTTATTTCTGTTAAGGAAAATCGAATTTTCCATATGTTATCCCTGGGGGCCATTCATAAATTTCCTTTCATTCTACTCAAAATCGATGGACTTTTCAACCCTCTTCGAGGCTTGTATGCGAAAATAGGACACCGAAATCAGTCACTATCTGACGGTCTATTATAAGTCTGTATATTAAAAAATTTAAAAATCAATGTAAACCTACCTATATTATGATAATTTAATTTGGGGTCTGCATTATTCTCTAATTTAAAAAAAAAATTGCTTGGCAACACTTTATGGAAACATTTTAGGGTTGAAATCAGTAATACCAAACCATTCTAAAAATAACATAAAAAATACAAGGTGTTTTATTTAAAAAAAAACATACATTTTTATTTGCCAGGCAAAAACACAACACCCTGTATATCCAAAAATATTTTTAAAATATGTATTTTTCAAGTCCACATAACTTTTATTTAAAACTTGTTTGCGTGTTAATAACACAAATTAAAATATTGAACAATTATGCACTAATGGGACACCCTGTATAAACATCACTAAATAACAATAAACTATTAGATTAAAAAAAAAAAACTAATAAACGAACCTAAATTTAAAATTTTTTATCAACTCGCTTTTTCATGCGGACACATCACTCCGTCCTTACCAACGGGGATGAGGCACCGTAGTGTCTACGAACCGTGGTATTGTATAATTTTTTTAAAAATGTAATATCCTAATGATTCAAATCTTTAATTTCCAAGCGCCTTCTACTCTTAGTAACAACACAATATTATATTTTACTAATTTTCCACTATATGTTCTGTAATAGTCTGGAAAGATACTCCTATGACATATCTGCAATATTTATAACAATACTTTTTTTTTGTTTAATGAGATATTAAATAACTCGATACTTCATACTAATCCTGTAGATTCGTCGTAATTATGGCACGGTGAGTGACTTTATGGTCTTAACTCAATAAAGATTGTTTATATATTACAAACAAAAACTATTGGTGTGTAGACATTTCTTCCTAAAACATATATTATTAAATGAAAATAAAAATGCTTAAAAATAGTACCAAACAATATTTTTTTTACTTGTTTCAAAGCTACCCGTTTCGGCCCAAGGGCCACAATCAGACTTAGGAAGAATACCTATTAATAATTTGTATTAGAAGTTTATAGTTAGTAACAAACCCTGACAAAACATAACATAGTCATATACACAGTGAGTTTTAAGTATGCACGATTTTTATATACTTTGGTATGTAAATGTTTTGCAATACGGCCGATAATATGGCTATATTTATATTGTTGTCAGATCTTTCGGTTTTCAGGAATATAATAAACTTTGTTATTTCAAAATGGATCACCCCGTATATTTTTTGGTATAGGGAATATTACATGAAAAATAATCAGAATTTCTTAAGGATTTCAAAAAACAAAAAATAACAAACTTCCTTATATTTCAAGAAAACCGAAAAACCTGAAAACAATGTTAATACAACCATAATATCGGCCGTATTACAAAAACTTTACATACCAAAGTATATAAAAGTCGTGCAAGCCGTTTCCCAGATAATTGAGGCATTCCATACTCAAAACTCACTGTGTATAAGGAACGTCAGTCTATACATATACGATTACGTTCTCTTTTGTTACTGACTTAAAGATACATCATTGTAATTCTTTCTTTTAAGTCTGATGATGGCCCTTGGACCAAAACCATTATCGTCCATTTAAATTTTAAATAATAGTAAAAAAAATATTGTGTGCTACTGATTTTGATTATATTTATTTTCGTTTATGAAAATGGCCACATTCGAGCAGTTGAATACCCTCTATGATTATATATTATTGCTTGGATATTTTAATCAAGAACAAAATGCAATAATCAGTGCACGACCAATAAAACATTATCAAAACAATTTAATTGGAAATAATAAAGACATCACTGGATGTTGCATTGTTTTTTTTTGTCGTTGCCTAATCGTGCTTTTGGTTTATACTTTGAAAGGAATTCTAATTGTTTTGCGTTAATAGCTCCTCTTCTTTTTTCTCGAATAAGATTCACGGCATCTTCATAAGAAAAACCCAATTCAATGAGGGCCAGTGATACCATCACTGGTGCTCTGCCAAGCCCTAAAAATTATTAAAACGAAATAGAAAACAGAAAAATACTTACAATCATAGGTAAAATTGTAAAGAAATAAGTGAACAAAAATTTCTAAATGGGAGTGATCTGATGGTATTATTATAGACAGTGCAAACCACATTTTGAATTGATTGTAAAAAAATGAAGATGGAGCTTATAATATACCGGGTGTCCGCGCGAAAACTTTAAATGGAATTATTTCTGGTGTTTTAAAATATATCGACTTGAAATTTTGGAAGGTCATTAAGGAAGTAGGGGGTAAATTAATAGTGTATAAGATACCACTCCAACGTGATATCTGCCGCCCCCAGCCACCCCCGGTTCAAAAGTTTAAATGACACCCTGTATTTTTTTTACATATTCTGAAAGAGCGTAGTTTTTTTAGTATCTCTATGTGAAAAAATTACTTAATTACATAACGAACTTTGAAAGATATTTACAGCTAAAGGTTCAGATACCAGATATTAAAAAAAAGAACTAGTAACCTTGGACAGTAGACAAATTTCGAAATAATTAAAGCAGATAGAAACAAAAAAATCTAATTATCCAAAAAAATATAACTTATCACAAAAAAATACAACTTATCACAAAAAAATACAACTTATCACAAAAATAGGTATTCTTATAGACCAACAAAATTTCGCTTTATAAACTAAAGTAAGGACTCTTTTTATTTTTTTAGTTAAATCAAATGTTCAAAATGTTCACCGTTTACATTTAAACAATAGTACAGTCTTTTCTCGAAAGCGTTCCGAATATTTTCAAAGACATGTGGCGTTAAATCTCTACATTCCTCTATGATTCTATTACGCAAATCATCAATGGATTGTGGTGGTGTCCTGTAAACAACAGACTTCAAATGTCCCCATAAAAAGAAATCCAGTGGGGTCAAGTCTGGGGAACGAGCTGGCCATTCAATAGGACCCCTACGACCTATCCATTGTCCTGGAAAAACGGTATTTAAATATTGCCTTACTTCTCCGTCTTGCTGAAAGTATAACTGATCCTCCTGCATTTGATCTAAGTTTTCTTCCAAGCACTGAATGATAAGAGGATGTATTAATTCTTCTAAAAACTCGAGATATCTAGGCCCAGTTAAATTCTCGTGATAGAAAAGTGGACCAATTATTTGGTTATTTAGAATTCCAGCCCATACATTAATTTTTTGGAGACGTTGCGTATGGCCTTCTCGGAAAACGTGGAGATTAACATCGCTCCAATATTGACAATTGTGTCTATTTACGAAACCGTTTAAGGAAAAGCAACTTTCGTCACTGAAACAAATATTTCGCAAAATATTTCTATTTTGCCGAATCATGCCTGTCATAGTTTCACAAAATTGGATTCTTCTATCGAAGTCATCGTCGCCCAACTCTTGATGAAGCTGTATTTTATAAGGATGCATTTTATTTAATTTTAATATTTTATGGCACGTTGTTTTTGCCACTCCCGAAGCTTCTGATAATTTTCTAACTGAAAGCTGTGAGTCTAAATTTACGTGACCAAGAACTGCAACTTGCGTTGCTTCATCTCGTGCTCCACGATTATTCATATCACGTTTTTTATTATTTACCGATCCAGTTTCAAAAATTTTTTGTATTAGATTAATTACATAAACAGCAGATACATTTTGTTGGGATGGTTTTCGTTAAATAATGCTGCCGTCTGCGAATAGTTTCTGTTTGCAATCCCATATAAAACTACAATTTCAGTTCTTTCTTCCAAACTGTAAACCATTTTTCTATTTTTTTAGCTATTTAATTTAAACTAAGTAAAATTTTTTCGAAAACTTTTGTACTAACGAGTAAACAGAAGTGTCACAAACAATATTATTTGACAGTTCAAGCAACGAAGCAGCTTTCATGGCTTGCTATTAATTTTTGCTTTCGATATTTGAATAACTGGTATCTGAACCTTTAGCTGTAAATATCTTTCAAAGTTCATTATGTAATTAAGTAATTTTTTCACATAGAGATACTAAAAAAACTACGCTCTTTCTCAGAATATGTAAAAAAAAATACAGGGTGTCATTTAAACTTTTGAACCGGGGGTGGCTGGGGGCGGCAGATATCACGTTGGAGTGGTATCTTATACACTATTAATTTACCCCCTACTTCCTTAATGACCTTCCAAAATTTCAAGTCGATATATTTTAAAACACCAGAAATAATTCCATTTAAAGTTTTCGCGCGGACACCTGGTATACAGTAAAACTAGAGAGGAAAGGGAAAGGCTTATTCATGTAGCCCTCTGTATGAGTCATAGTTTATCTGTAAGTAGATAGTTGAAATAAAGCAGATTAAACATTTATAAAACAATAGAATGTAGTATCTTATTTATATATGTCAATATTACAGATCAGTGATTGGGGTATTTTATGATCAGGGTATGAGTAAAAATTCGCTAGGTTCGCTAATGTATCTACGACAATGGCGGTTCAAAAGTGGAATATGGTGCAAATCACAGTTCATTTTAGTTTTTATCAAGTGAAAAAAATAACAACCGGTGCCTAATTTTCAACATATATTTAATATTAATATTATTGGAAAAGTCTTATTTGCAGGTGTTTACTATATAGTAAATTTAATTTGTTGCACTAGGTGTAAGTTTTCTACATTAACCGCTTTTGATTTGTTTAGTGAAGCTTCAAAGTAAAGCTGTTTAGTTACATTGTTGGTATTTTCACATACTTAAGGTATAGGTATTTCTAGTTGATAATTGGCGAAGAAAATCAAATTAAAAAACCAAAAGAGAACAACAAATAGGTCGAGAGAGGGGCGAAATGTTTTAGAACATAAATAGTTTGTTTGTTTAACATACTATTTAAGCATTGGAAACAAATTTGCTAATTACTAATATTTGCTAAAGGTTACCGTTTAAAAATGTTACCGATACAGTTATGACCATTTAAAGAATATTTCTCAGCTAAAAAATTCCATTTTTATATTCAACACGTAATGATCCTAAATATCTGTTTATTTATAATTTATAAACTATCCTGGGATGGTGAAATGGCCAAAAATCTAAATTAAATGTAAAATCGGGATGACGGATTTTTTTTTATTAATTAATGAAATTTTTTGGAGAAAGGTCATGGGGAAAATATTGAATGTTGGGATAGTTGTAGAAAAGATGAAAAGATTTTGTACGCTTTGATTGTTGAGTGCGAGAATTGAAATAAAAATAAAAAGATTCAAAGAAGACAAAGAAAGTTTTATTTAAGTTAAAGAAAAGGGTGAATCAGATAGCAGAAAGGAGAACTGGAGGAATGAGAGTAACGGAAGAAAGTATTGGAAGACATCGTCGAAAGGAGATCAGGCAGAAGAACAGGAGGGAGCAGAGAAGTAAGTATAGAAACTTTATCATAAACAATACCATAAACAATACCATGAACAATACCATGAACAATACCATGAGCAATAACATAAACAATACCATGAACAATACCATGAGCAATACCATATGCAATATCATAAACAATAACATGAACAATATCATGAACAATACTATGAACAATACTATGAACAATACTATGAACAATACTATGAACAATACTATGAACAATACCTTAAACAATACTATAAACAAGACCATGAACAATACCATAAACAATACCATAAACAATACTATAAACAATACCATGAACAATACCATGAACAATACCATGAACAATACCATGAACAATACCATGAACAATACCATGAACAATACCATGAACAATACCATGAACAATACCATAAACAATACCATGAACAATAACATGAACAATACCCTGAACAATACTATGAACAATACCATGAACAATACCATAAATAATACCATGAGCAATACCATGAACAATACCATGAACAATACTATGAAAAATACCATAAAAAATATTATGAACAATACCATAAACAATACCATGAACAATACCATGAACAATACCATCAACAATACCATGAACAATACCATGAACAATACCATGAACAATACCATGAACAATACCATGAACAATACCATAAACAATACCATGAACAATACCATGAACAATACCCTGAACAATACTATGAACAATACCATGAACAATACCATAAACAATACCATGAGCAATACCATGAACAATACCATGAACAATACTATGAAAAATACCATAAACAATATTATGAACAATACCATAAACAATACCATGAACAATACCATGAACAATACCATGAACAATACCATGAACAATACCATGAACAATACCATGAACAATACCATGAACAATACCATGAACAATACCATGAACAATACCATGAACAATACCATGAACAATACCATGAACGATACTATGAACAATACCATGAACAATACCATGAACAATACCATGAAAAATACCATGAACAATACCATGAACAATACCACGAACAATACGATGAACAATACCATAATCAATATCATGAATCATAAAAAAAACATATCGCTCCTTTTGGGACAGTCATGTATTTTTTTAAATAAAAACACGACTCCACGCGTCCAAAGCATTGGGCAACAAACTATTTTTACTATTTAGTATTACTATCTAGTACTATTATTTAGTATTACCACAGTTTATAGTTAAAGAATCAGTTCGCTCACTCTGCGTCGGCACTTTTGATCTCAATGTTCCAGTTTATGCATTGCGCCACTCAATATCCCTGGCGCATACAGAATCAAATCATAATAGCCCAAAAGTCAACTGCAAATTTTTACCGTCATCTGATAACGAAATGAAATATACCCCAAAAAGCATTTAAAAACATTGTACTTTACCAAATGGCACCTGTGCCAATCCCAATCCTGAGTAAAGTGGTTAAAAAAATTATTTTATATTAAAAAAATCACATAAGGCATGACAACGCTAATTTTGTTTGTGTTCCAGAAAATACCATATTCAAATATATCTTGATATATATCGTTAAAACATTTTCTTCCTCTTAACATCGCACAAAAACATCTATCTACGATTAGTAGGTAAAAATCATTA